AAACCTTTACCTCATGTATTATTGACTTGTTATTAAACGTGGACCATGCTTACTCCTCTTGGGAAGTGTTTTTTTTTTTTAATTAGTTATGATCTGATTCTATTTTGTAGACTACATGGGTTGTATTTTTTGTAAACACGAAGTTTTGTTTAACAAGGCAATAGCCCAGGAGGTCCTTCATGTGCTCATAGTAATTTGTAAGTAGGCATATTATTTTTCATTTCTGAATTTTCTTGTATGACATTTAGAAATGTGTACATTTATATTGTGCTTCAACTATATGAATGTTCATTAGAATTAATCTGAAATAAAGTCAGTTTTTTAAGAAATGCTGATTGAACTTTCCAGGAATCCAGTTCCAATGTCATATTCTCACTGGGATTCTGGATATGCAAAAATCTGTATACAGTAATGTATTTATTTTAAAAAGAAAATATAAGAAAGAAAATCTGTCTTAGAAGGCAACTTCACAAATCAAAGGCACAAAATGCTAGTAACAGTTTTAGTAACTGTACTAAGAGCCAAGTTATGTGAATATAGGATTAAATTTCAACTGAAAATGGGAGAAGTGGTGAGCTGGGCCACTAGCACTGACAGCAGCCTCTTTCTTATGGCATATAGTATCCAAAGGGCTGATTTTTGACAGGACCATAAAACATGGGGAAAGGATTAAACTTTTACTGTACTCCTCATTCAGTGTGGTTTCAATCCTAACCTCTTTACCCATAACATCTATTCAATTCTGTCTAAAAATGAAATATAACTATTTATTGTTGCATAAATATAGTTGTTTCTTGGTATGTAAATACTTAAGGACCAGGATATAAATCTCTAAATAAATAAATAAATAAAATATTATAGCTGTGTGAGAAAGAAATCAAATTCTTCCCTCATGCCAGCTGCAATAAAAAATTTAACAGAACAGAGTATAGGTTTAAACTTAAACTATTGGAAGTACTAATCTGGAACATACACAAGAAAATTCTAAACTATTTTTCAAAGGGAAACCATTTTGTTGAAACAAGCTGAGACTTGATACATTCAGTTAAACTATTTCAACATCTCTTTTGGTGAGAGAAGCTATCTCACTGTTGGTGAACTTGGACAAAGAAGAAGCACCCATGACTGGAAGATTCAGATACTCAGGATTAAGGTAGTGGGTGAGATTACAGTAGAGGTATAATTTGATTTCTTACCTGATATCACTGACTGCAGTGCATCCATGATAATATGTGCAAAGGCATTCTCCACACTCTGCAAAAAGTTGTTCCTTTCACTTGGGGTACTGAAAACCTTGCAGACTTTCTGCATCATTTTTACAGCCCAGTCCATGCAATAGAGATCCTTCTCGCACACCTGGTAGAATAGAGACATCAATAAAACAAAATTTCCTTGATGGTAGAACAATAGTTCTTTGCTCCTATCCTTGTGCTTTTCAGTCCAAAATAATTCCATGTAAATTTTGGGTTGAAAGACACACAAATATATAAATAATTATTTATTTAAATTGTTATTTGCTTGCTTCCTGATGATTTGACGTTTCTTTCTCAACTTTGCACAACTTAGCTTAAACTAGATAAAGTGGAACATTCTTGCTCTGTAAGCATTCTTTGCAATTCATCTTGGTTCTGTCTGTAAGATCTTCCAAATAGAGGCACAGTACAGACAGTTGGGCATGATTCTCCTCCCCCCCCATCAAATACTATCATAACTGGAGACTTGCAAGCACAAACAATTTCCATGTAATTTTAAGCCAATGGCATTTTATCTGTGTATGAGGATATGATATATCAAGGCAGCAAATGCAGTGTCACAAACAGCAACATACAGTATTGCTGTATGGTGCTTAAAATGTCTATGCATCCATTGGAGGGAATAACTCCTCCCACATCTTGGGATTTCTTTATAGCAGTGTGGTAGCATGGTTAGGAAAAGGCCAGACTTTTTGGAATGGCAGCATTAAGAGTTTGGAAGGCACTAAATATTTGCCACCATGGAGAGCAGAGAATGACCTCTTAGTGGAGTTGTTATGAGGAAAAATGGGAAAAGTCCCATGTATGCCACCTTGAGCTTCTAAAGAAAAACAGGATGCAAGCTAACAAAACAATTTATTATCTCTGTCTCTGATGAAGTGGAGAAGGGATGCGAGTCTCAATACAGACTTAAGGGGATGGGACAAGGCACAGTTACTGGCTGATTGGCTGACAGTTCTTTGTGTTTGGCTATTGGTCTGAAATGGCAAGTGCTGATTGGCTGGTGTTTTCTGAGAACTTTAGACTAACAGACATATAAATGTACTGTCTTACACTGTAGTGTCCTCCTGTCCAAATACATCTGAAAATGATCAAAATTACCCAGGTCAGTCTTGGCTGGACTGGGGGAGATATGTGGCAAACAGTGCCTATTGATTGATATTGTGCCATCAAGCCAGTGTCAACTCTTAGCAACCACATAGATAGATTTTCTCCAAGATGATCTGTCCCTAACCTGGTCTTTCACAATTCCAACAGTGCACTCATCACCACTGTAACTGTGCCTAAAGACAGGCTCTGTGTGTGTGTGTGTGTGTGTGTGTAGAAAAATTGTTGCCTTCAGCCCAGGGGTAGGAAAGTAAAGTAAGCCAAGAGTTCCTGCCAAAGGGAAAATATTTCCAGAAGCTTTTCTGAGTCACATTAGCATGTGCCAGCTTTCAAATAAATTGGCCCATCCCAGAGTCTGAAATAAATCAGCTCAGCTCCCCAAACCAGCAAATATCATGAGATCAGGCAAGTTCAGAGCTGATTTTGAATTGGTGCAAAGCCCTCACAGAGAAGTGTTCTCAGATGCTACAGAACATTCGTTCTACTTAGTATACACATTGACATTTAAGCTTAGCTTAAAACATTTCTCTTTTCCTGTACAGTAATTAAAGGTACATGATTCCTGCAGTCCTCCCACATAACTCATCACCTGACAGAAAAAGCAGGAAGATGCTCATGTAATCTGTATCAATTTATGATACAATTATTAATACAAAGTGCTCTGATAAATATTATGCGGGAAACTAGAACATTTTGACACATCTGATACCTCAAGTTAGATATGCTGTTCCTGCCTGCCTGCCCACTAGTTATCAGGCTAAGAAGGTAGATAAGTGTGGAAAAACCCCTAATGTTCTATTCCTTCAAGGACTGCTGTAATGGAAGTTTAATGAAAATGCTTTCCCTGTTCGCATATAAAGTGACATTATGCAAGCAGCAATAAAAGAACTGTATTTGATGCTGCCATAGAAACACTCTAAGGCAAGGTAATTAGTCTGCGGTATTTTCAGACATATATTAATTTGTTTCTTTTAAAATGTTACTGTAGTTAGTTAATTTTGGCGAATTGCCTGAAACTGCTACAGAAAAACTGGTATCTAAGGGCCAAATTAGACAAGACATCAAATATGTCATTGTGCTTAACACATTTAAGGGTTCATTCATGTCTAAAAAACACCAGGGGGAGGGAAACCAAACAAGCACCTTAGAGCACATGAGAAGTGTGTTAACCCCTATTCCCCATCCTGATTAAAGTTTATTTCACTCAAAAGACCTATTGGCTGTGGAACTAAGTTTTCTTTGTTGACAATGACAGCTTTCTCTCCATCCCAAATGATAGTTTTGGAAGGTTTTTTTTCCCCTTGAAGATGGGAGATTTTCAATTAAATCGCATGGATAATTGCTCCTTCCTAAATACTGTCATCCTCATCCTGATCCTTCCCATTCACAGCAGTTACTCTTTCACAGCACTGTACCAGATATACTGTATTAAATGCAGACACCTATTTTGTGTCATGGGGGTGTGTGCGTGTGCATGTGCGTGTGTCCCATTCATAAGTCATAACATAGGGAAGAAGAAGGTACTATATGAGGAGGGGAAACTATCTGTTAATTACTATTCACCAAAGCCAGGAACACCACCAGCCTTGCCAGTTCCATAGCTCGGCCATTCACAGCTTTACTAGCCATAAACGTGAAGCAGATATTGTTTCCGCACAAAATAAGAAGTCGAGCGCTGTTTTCAAGAAGCCATTCCTGAGGGACTACTATAAAAAATAGAAAAAGATTTTATACATACACAAACACACACATGCACACCCCAGAACACGTATAGTATGCACACATACGTGCTTTACTTTTAACTTTTATTTTCTTACTTTTGAAAATCTTATTCAAAAGATAGGCAGAATACAACACCAATTGATCTAGTCCACAAGACAAACAATAAAATAACATCCAAATAACATATGTACTTTGCATTTTTTAAAAGGTTAGGTGATAAGACTACTGTAAGATTTAGTTTGCGTGCTTCTGAATGGACGATGCAATGAGCATTTTTCCTTACAATATATTTAGCTTTGATGCAGTTGATCATCAGTTGATAGTTTTCAGTTTAATAGTGCAATCCTATAACATTCAAAGGTTAATCCCATGGAATTCACAATGGTTTATACTCAGGTGAGGCAATACAGGAAACATATGTAGGATGATATTAACTTTGTAACTGGTGTAAAGAAGATTGGAAGTCGTCTCTTTAAATATCTTTCTCTTTCTTTTTTATTTTCTGCACTTTTTCTTTATTTTTCCTTCTTTTTTAATTTCACTTTCTGTACTTCCTTATGTTTTATTTGTCTAAAAATCTTGAATAAAAATTATATATATTAAAAAAAAGGAAACAAATGTAAGATTATGCTATTGGGTCCTTAAATGAGTAAGTTTCTTTGTTATTTTTGCAATAATTAGTTAACCTAAGTGCTCCTCTGGAATAAGTTTTCCAGTTTGCAGTCACAACATACTGAATCATTGCCAAACCGCTAGGAACATTAAGCCAGTACAGTATTCTCTGAAACACCAAATTCAGTGAAACAATCCTGCTGTATCAGCAGAAAAGCGCAGCAAGAACCAATTTTTAATTAAATATTTGTCCAATTGCTCTTCTTTTGGGACTACCAGTAGTCCTTGCTTAGTGACTGCCTCATTCCGCAATCATTCAAAGCTAGGACGGTGCTGAAAAAATAACTTTATGATCAATGCCTGCATTTACAACCTTTGCAGTGTCCCTCAGTCATGTGATTGCCATTACAGTCAATATGCATTGTTGTGTGCCTGACCTGTTGTTTTAATTTTCCCCCCCTTTGCAGAGCAGAGAGATCGGAGAGGAAGGGATTACAAGAGTGTAAGGAGGCACATAACAGGGAATACACCAGGCTGCTTGTATAGCGCACTCGCAGCTGCCAACGCCAGCGCATTGCTTTTGATTTGTATTTCCCATTGTGTGCCTGCTTACTCTCTTGTAATCCCTTCCTCTCACAGTTTTAACTTTTTAGCTTAATTTTAACCTTTTGTAGTTTTTAACATATATTTTTTCTAGGATGTTATAGTTTCTTATCTGTAACACCGCCTAGAGTCACTTGTATAGTGAGATGGGTGGCATATATAAATTTGAAAAATAAATAAATAAATGTTTTTAACATATATTTTTTCTAGGATGTTATAGTTTCTTATCTGTAACACCGCCTAGAGTCACTTGTATAGTGAGATGGGTGGCATATATAAATTTGAAAAATAAATAAATAAATGTAAATACAAACATCTAATTCCCTTCATGCTAATTATCCCAGCACCAGAGTGAGCATTCCAAAGGGCGGGGAAGTGGGGAAAAGGAAAGTACAGTTGTGGTCACCTGAGTTCCCACTTAGCGATCACTTCACTTAACAACAGAGCTGCCGATCTCAACTGTGGTCGCTAAATGAGGACTAACTGTATTTGATGGTATCTTGGATTCAGGTGTGCAAACATACCTGCAAGCTCATCCACCAGACTGATGACATCATCTGCTGTCCACTCCTTTGCTTCTGTGTCATATAATAGTTTAATAGCATCTGCCAGCCCTTTCAAACTAGTTTCATCTGTTGGACCTTGAATCATTTTCTGCCAGACAACATGCCCTGAACAATATTAAGCATAAGAGTTAGTGAAAGGGAATTTGTCTTGAGCCACCAGTTAACCCTATCCCCTACCTATTTCTTGAGGTGGAGAGAAAGGCAATTCTAGGTTCCAGATAGCAAAAAAATAACTGCTGTCTTGCTGGAAAATTATTAGCAGGATTGCAATTGATTTTCTGCCTGCTTGATATGACACTTCTTTTCCTGTTTTCAGGCCCCTATCTGAATACTTCTGTCTATGCCTTATTAATTAAAATAGCTTACCATCCAGCGTAGATGCAGGCCCAAATATTATATATAGTAGCCGAGCTTGATTTACCATTGGCCATGGCTTCAAAATACGGGTCAACCAAAATGCTGAATCACTCCGATGGATCCAATGGTTTAAAAGTACACTGCGGCAAAATGTCCTTATCCTCAATTCCAGTTTTCGGGCACTTCCTAAGACAAATTAATAACATTGAGGTATCAGTCTGCATTTAGAGTATTCTAATGTTTGAACACTGTAAATTGTGTGAAAAATAAATATATTTGGGTGGCACTCCCACAAGTTTAAAGTCAGTAGTCACCATTGCTTTCACAGTTCTTTAGGGTGTCACAAGACACAAAAGTCCAAATTTATAACATGCTCGCAAACATGGATTATTTACCAGGCTTGCTGCTGACAATTGTCTGTATTCTCCGAGGTAAATTGCTGAACTCACAGAGAAAATTGTAAACCCGATGACATTCAAATTCATCCCAACCGGCTGTTAAGGTCTGAAAACATACAGAATAAGCCAATAGAAATATAAACAACGTTTCAGAGTTTGAAGTCTTAGCTGAGCATATATGTATTCTGACACGGCTGTTTTATTTGCCCTTTTTGTACTGTGAAATTAATGATAGTGGCCAGTGACAAAGTATAGAAGATGATTTGACCTGCGATATAGAGAAAATCCTCCAAATACTAAGATCTGCAAAACACATTTGGGAGGGTGTCTTTACTCAACTTTGAAAGGGATGAAACTTTACAGTATATAGATGTAGAATAAAGCCTATACAGTATGCAATAATGGACTCTAATGCACAAAAGCGTATGCCATAATAAATACATTTATTTTTAAAGCATTACAAGGCTCTCAATTGCTTTTACCTGTAAAAATACTCCATAACATTGTAGTCCCAAACAGTGCAAAGGATCTGAGCAGCCACTGAATTTGAAACAGGAAATCTATAAACATAAAAGAAAGCACCCTTCATTTTACTTATGTTATTTCAATGGGATATAGAAATTAACAGATCCAATGTTTCTTGGAAAACAACTATGCTTACTTCTGAAAGTATTTTGTGTATGTACTTCAGTCTCTCTTTTGTAGGGAGCAGTAAAGTGCACCTTTTTAACAACAAGCCTAGAAAGAAAAATCATATAGAGATATTTGAAAAACGTTTTTGTGAAGATGCTTTTCAAAATCTGTAGGTCAACGTTGACTTAAGGGTCAGGAGGCCATTTGTTTTAATTAGGGCTCTCAGGTTTGGGCTGCAAAAATATTGACAACCACTAGATGACAGCAAAAACAGAAAACTCTCTCTTTTTGCCACCTAGTGGATGTCTAGACTTTTGCAGGCCAAATTTTGTAGCTCTATTTTTAATGGGCTATGATTAAGCTACATATTCACAGTGCTTATGGGCAGCTAGATAGGATTGCCAGAAGGAAGAAATCCTTCAAATCCCACAAGATTTTCTTCTCCAGTGTATCCTTTCCTAGTTTAAGCTGACATGCTTCTTCACTGCCACCAAGCATGTTTCTTTTCCAGTGCTTCACTGGATATGTTCGAGCAGACTAGACAGCCATCTTTCATGTATGCTTTAATTTGGTTTTCTGCAATGACCAGGGAGCTTAGATTCAACAGCGTAAATGGCTCCTTCCATCTCTATTGTTTTATGATCATGAGTACTTCTCTTTCTTAGAGTTTAAGCCAATGGTTCTTAAACTGGAGGTAATTTGGGCATATCCTAGGGATATTGGAGCAATTTGTAGTTGTTTGTCTGTGAGTCAAGGATCCAGTTTGGGATTGCTGCCGCCAAGATGCTTGTGTAAAACAACAGAGTCTGTCTTTTTTTTTTTTTTTTTGGTGGGGGTAATATCATTATTCGAGACCGAGAAAAGGAGTAATTGAGTCAAACGGTTGAAAAACCAGTGAGTTAAGCTCTCAGAGTTTTAGCTCTGAGCAAAAATAATGCCACATATCTATTTTTGTACATAGCATCTTATAGGTACTAAATGAACATCTACTATTTTCATTAGAAATTGTAATTCAATTTATTACCATTTATTTCAAATGAATGCATGGATTTAAGCAGTCAGTTAAGCTGCAATGCTGTGGTTTCTGAGATTATGTATTTTTCAGATTTTCCTTTTGAAGGTTGAAGAGAGAAGTAAAGCTCAGAGAAGGAAATCTGACGTTGGAAAATCTCTCCCAGATTACTCCAAGATACTGCCAAGGCTAATATTGCTTCAACATTGGAACTCTAACGATGAGACAAGATGTGGATCCATTTAATCCAATCCATATTCCATTTAACCTAATCCAGTATTCTTTCATGTAACCCCTCCCCATCAAGAGGAGTATATGTCAGCTCCAAAACTCTAAATGGAGAAGTAAGGAAAAATCAAAGTATCCCTTTTCTATTCTGTTTGGTTCATGCTGACAAGGTTCTAGATTCTTCAAATGTTCCAATGACTGTGTCCTTCCTAGGGAACAGAACCAAATCAGTCCATATAAATAGTTTTATGGATCATCCTTTGGAACTGAAATCTCTGATGCTTCTTCCAATTTTGGCTTCTTCTATTGAAACCTGAATAGCAAACTATCTTGGAAATGGGTGTTGTTTTAAAAGGCTACATGAAGAACATCCAGATCCTTGAAAACAATATGTTGTCACTCTTATAGCGATAGCTACAGAGGTGTCTACAAAGAAGGGGTAAAAAAAGTCAAGATGGCAGCCACAACCATGTGATCTGAGCCCCATCCCTTTTTTATGTGTGTTGTGATCTCATGGTTGTAGCTGCCATTTGACTTTTTGACTCCTCTGCTGACACCCTTGGATATTCAAGTTAAAGGGAAACTCAGGCTTGAAAATAAGAAATCAAACCTTGTATCTTTTTCTCTCAAGGAAAGAGACTTTTTTTAACAGTTTTCCAACCATTGCAAAGAAAAGATTATTTCAAATTGTTTAAACAGCACATAAGGAAGGTGTTAAAATAGATGCATTTCTGGTATTCCAAGATTTAGAATTTGTGTCTGTGTGTATGAGAGTAAAAAAGCCTGTGGAGACTTACAGTTTTTTTTTTCTTTCCAAAATTTGGATATATAAAACTTTCTAGATATTGGAAGTATGTTTAAAGCACAGGGAGAGAAAGGGCAAATTAGGCTATGAGGGGAAAAAACAGCAGAAACATTTTTTTTTTTTTTTACTCAAACCAGAAGCTGAGAATTAATGTATGGTAATGGATCATTATTTTTAGAACAGGAAGATCTAAGCTGTAGTATTCACTGAGTTCATGTTGCTATTCCAACAAGGCTAAAGAAAATCACATGCCCTTTAGCACTGCTTTAGAAATGCTAATTTTCCATGATCTTTTGATCTCATTGGATTCTGTCTGCCTCTGCTTGATAACTCTTATGGTGATTTGCTCCTAGATCAGTTTAATGAAGTGCAAAAGTGTAAGAAGAGAATAGCGGGAAATATGCATAAACGGTATTTATACTTAGGATTACCATAGTTAGGGCTGCCATATTCTGTGCTGCAGAATTATCAAATGGTACTAGTATATATCTGCTATGGGGAAATTTGGTCCCCGTACAGCTACCATATCTGGATTGCAAAGCTCTGAAAAACCACTAAATGGCAGAGAGGATTGTTTTGATTTTTATGGCTGAGATTATGGTAGCCCTGCTCATGTACCATGTGCACATGATACAGCTAACTGGCAGAAGTTAGTTTAGCCCTAAACAAACATGGGGCCCTTTGGGACTAATATTAATCCTTCTGGATTAGTTGTGGAGTTCTTTATTACTTGTGTCTATCTGTATTAAATGCCAAATGCTGATAATGAAAAGACTTCACTACTGCTCCTTTCCCCATTATCTATATCTACTATCCTGTGCTTATGCTATAGAGTTGAAATTAAAGTGTTTAATTCCTTTCAGAATCAAACTGATAACTAGTATGGATTGGACAGTAGTTGTGTTCACAAGCACACTTCTCAGTTATTAAATTAACCCATTTTAGGAGATTCCACAATACATTGAACCATACACTAACCAAACAACCTGACTTCACACTGTAAAATAAGCTACAACCAATCAATCAATGTAAAAAATTCAAGCTTAGCATGTAACTAACAAGTGTATCATATGCAGATTTATAAGGACATTAGTTATTTATTTACTTGAATGGTCTAGCGATCCAATTTTACCTTTGTCCATGGCCCACATGGTATTTTTTCATTCCTAGACTATAATTTACACAGCTGCTATACTTCTGCTTTCCATACTGTACTATCAAAGACCTAACCCTTCCTTTTTCAGCCAACACAATTCTATGGTGTATAAAAGGGGAAAGTAAGCATGTATGTAAAATCAACCTAGCCTTGTTTGTCATAGGCAATTTCCATGGTCTGTTGCATTTAAACAAGGTAAGTGAATACTTTAGGTGGGAGGATGGAACAGATATGCCATTGGTTATTCATTAACTGATCAGCATCCTGACAATATTAACTCACCCTCCATGTAGATAACATATTTTGTTAGTCCACTGAAAAACATATAGGATAGTGTTGAAAATCAAGACTATAAATCATTATGCCAACAAGATATTACATTGCTACAGTGAAGGCTGGATTCTGTCAAAGTTTGGTATTGTGGAAAGGCTCTGAGTGAAAAGACTACTGCAAATAAATTAAAAGAGAAGCAGGAGGAGGGTTGCAGAAAATCAGTGACAAAGAGAATAAGTTGCATGGAACAGAAGAAAAAAAAAGAAGCAGCAGTAACTGGGAGCTGAAGTGTTGAAGTCTGGCAAAAATGCTGAAAACAGCTAGAGAAAGATGATGACATGATCATAATAATGGCGTGGAAAGATTATTTTGGCAGAGGTTCCATGAATTTTGTAAAGCAATACATTTTTCAGATTTCTGTTCCCATTACATGCAACACCCCCACCCCCAAATTTAAAATAGGAGTGTTGCAGGGGAGAAGTTAATTCTCCTGCTCATTTTAACTATTGTGGCTCCCCTTTCCTGTTCTGCTTGCACTACACCAGATTTCAGACATATATTTGAAAAGATAAATATGCATTTGAAATCTCAGAGAAGGAAAAGCAACAAGGGTATTGCAGCAGAAAACAAAAAGATGGGGAGGCATGGTTAGGGATCTTGTTCTTTCACCTACACTGTCAGTGATATTTTCACAGACTCTGATACCTGTAAAATATCAGTTCATAATACAAAAACAGAAAAAAAAAATCCCAGAGCAGTTTGGGGAAGTTACAGTTCCCTTTCTGTTATAATTTCCAACAAATGGTTTATTGTATTTATGCCCAAGTTAATTTTTGTTCCGTATATTACTCTAGATCCTGATTTGAGGTGCACATTAATTTACTATAGTGAAACATTTTTCCTATCCTGCAATATTCTTGTTTTCTTTTAATTAAAAGGATGCAATTTGAAGCGGGGCTCCTTTCAGTTAACTGAGATTTTTTTACCTTAATGTTTTTTCTATCTGGTGGAGCTGTTTAATGTTTTGGAATATCTGAAAAGGGGGAGGGGCATTGATCACCTAAGGATCTGTAGTGTTCTAGAATGGAGGATCCTTTTCTACAGCCAGATAGCTCATGGTTATGAAAATCCTGTGGCAAAAATCTTCTATTCCCACAAGGAGTTGAGATGTAATTAATAAGACGGTTGCTGATAGTCTTTGATACCATGCTCATCATGCTGATATCCTTCACTGAATAAAGGAGAAAAAGAAAAGAAAAGGAAGTTGTTAGGCTTTATACACACAGTGGTTCCTCTTTAATTCATCAAAAATGTTTGGGACTACTCTTAAGCCAAGAATGGCATGTGGTCATATACATAGTTGTGTATGTATGACCTCTTCACATGACATACTATATGTAGGACCCAAAAATTAAATAAAAATAGCTGAATCTTATATGATAACCAAATCTTTCAAATTTTTGATATTCCCATGAGATTTCAAGCAAGATTTAATGATCTCACAATATTTTGACAATTTTAAAAAATAATATTTGTTCAAATAAAGTAATGGAATTTAAGATGACCCTCTCTTGTCAAACTAGAATTACCAAACCAGTAAATACTTGCATGGACACATTTGTGTACTGTATGTGTGTGTATTTATACCCACCAGAAGCCATACTCATAAAAACAGGACAGGGCCAATATAAAAAATTAAATTAATATAGTCAAATTAATTGCCTGTAAAATAAGGTGTCTCATTTACAAATGCAGTTGATCTCCATCTACATATACCAACCATTCTCTCTCATACACAAGTTATTCTCAAACACAGAAACGTACAAGAACATGCACGCATGCATTCCCCTCCCTTCCATAGGAGTCTAAGAGCAAGTGACAAAACATGTATCACAACATAATCTCCATCCCTTAGGTACTTGTGTAGGATGTTGCAATAAAAATACAAAAGGACTGAGCTTGCATCATGATGTCACATTTTATTATTTTTGTGTAATTCTGGGTAACGCAAAAAGGAAGAAAAAACCAAGATGAAAACAAGAAAAGGGAAAATGGCAGTTGCAGTGAAAAAGAAGGGGTACTGAATGCAGGTGAGATACAGTAATGAGAAGAGGTAGCTGTGAAGGGGGAAGGATAGACAAGAGAGAAACGGAGAGAGAGAACAGGAAGGCTATTTACCATTACAAAACAGTTAAATTAACCAGGCAAACAGCCTCTTCCTATTCTAATCTTCATATGCATCTAAACTTTGCAGTGGCATTGTCTACAGCCATCTACATCTCATGTTTGTTCATTTTCAACAGTTTCCTCTATTATCAGCTTGGGAACCATTGCTCTAAGAAAACACTAGAGAAATTGGTTAAGAAAACTACAATTACCACATATGCATTTTCACACTCCATGTCCCTCTGATCCCATACTGTCTTCTTTGATGGACAGCTGAGCCAATGTAGCTCTGGCTAATTACAGAGTCAGAACAGCTCTGAAGAGAGTTTTCAAGTAGTAGTACTACTAGAATTCAGCAATCTAAGATTGGCTGTGGTAGGAACAAATCTGAACTGGCATGAAGCTATTTTTGAAGGCCTGGGAAGTGAAAATTGTGCTGGGATGCATGCAAGGGTCCTAAACTGAGTCAGTTGGTGGCTTTGGAGTTAATTCAGATACAAGGGATTGCTGTCTCTCTCCTAGCATATTACAGCTTAAGTATTTTCTCCATGTCAACACATGGTCAAAAGCTTATTTTTAAGGCTGGGCAGCACTTCTGATTGAAAGGGTGGTATGTTCATGCTCCCACCTGCTCTGATACAGCTTCTGGAGACTGAATCCAGACAGCTGCACAACCCTACTTATTTTCCTCTCACATATTCATTTAGATTTAAGAGAGTTTAGCAGTTCTCTGCTTGGTGTGAATTTAGCTGTTGAACTTCCTAAGACAGAAGCAAATAGCAAACAAGCAACTGAGCTGACTAAGACGAGAATAAACAGAAAGACAATGAATGTGTACAAATGTATTTACAGTCAGTAACTGCAGTAGGTGCTTGGGGTGATCTTAGCCTTTTACTCTATGACTGCTGAAAAACACAGGCCATCAGTGTCAGTACTGAAATAGTCTTTAATTTTGCCTGTCCTGCAATCCTCCAGGAAGGCTGCCTGCTTTTTTAAAAAAACATGTTTTAAAACATTTAATGCAATTTATTTGGAAGGAATAATCCTGAGTGGAGCATGTGGCAAGAGAGGCAATGTTGCTCAGGGCAGCCAGAGCAGAGAATATGTGGCGCAGCCTTTCTTCCACTAATTTTTGTTTGTCTTCCTTCTCCCACTGGTTCCAATGGGACTGAAAATAAATACATCAACTCCAAGTCTAAGAATGCTCTCAGGAACTTTGAATATAGTGGTTCTCTAAAGTGTCCCCTGGTCAGCCACTGACAATGTCCCTGGGATGTAACTTTTTCACACTGATCTTTATCAGATCAGTGATTGTGGAACAGCTATGCTTCCAATCAAAAGGGCTTTCACAGAGGCTTCTCCAACCAAAGGGAGGGAGGTTCATAGCATATTATGGCTTCTTGATTGTCCTTTCAGGGACCTAGAATTCCACCCTGAATTTACATTCTAATTCTATAGCAGCAATGCGGTTGCCATATTTTGCACGTGGGGTAGAACTGACTCACCTGAAAGATATCCTAAAACCATTTGAAATATTTCTAAAGGTAGGTCTTTGAAATTTCCAAGTGTGGAGAGAGATGCAGAATCTGTTTGCAGGGTGTTGCTAAATTTGCTGGAGTGACGATAACTACGTCGATATTTTTGATTAGGAACCAAGGTATAGCTAGGAGATGCCATACTCCTTTCTTGGTCCATAAATTTATCCTGAAGAAAAACAATTAAAATATAAAAAATGAGGAAAATTAAGTGATAAAATCAATAAAAATAGGTAGCATAATGGCATAATTATTTTTAGTTGCTGCATAAATATAGCAGATACTAAATACCATATGGATGATGCATAAAATTGACATTTTGATGGGATTCCTGAAAAACAACATTGAAAATCAGGTTTAGTATGGAGCTGGACCATCTAGTCTTAGATTTTTCATTAGAAGTCTAAATCAGAGTGTTAGAAGCAAATGGGAAGAATGTTGCACCCAAATCAAAACCTTCTAATTACTTAATTTGGAAGAATGATCCAAACAATAAGGAGAACACTCCTTCCTCAAATTCATCATGATGATCAGTAAATGCAGAGTTTTGGATTTAATACCAGAAAAAAATGCTTTGGAGTACCTAGGTGAGAGCAAACATAGCACCTCTCTGCAACACCTTAAAGCAGCCATGCTGTCTTCCATAGACCAGAGCTGCTGAGATAAAAGATGTAGCTGCCCGAAGACAGCCAGGTGCACTGAAGCACTTCTTGAAAATTTAATTTGAAGTGCTGCCAAGCCCTAATAATTAACCAGTCTTAATTGGTAAAAGATTCCTTCCAAACATTTCCCCCCAAAAGGTTTATGAATGGGGAAATATTCTTCCATCTCTAATTATGCCAGTTTCTGTTGCTTCATCTCTATAATTATTTATTTCTTCCAGAATGCTATCATTACCAGAATCAATTTTAAGTTTTTAATTTGTACATAGCCTATATAACTGTTCAGTAAGTTATTGGCTAGCTTAAAAATGTATATAATTAGCTCACATGTAAAACGAACAACAGAGATTTCATATAATGATTCTTAGGCTTCTGACAGCCTTTGCTAGTCTATCTGAAATATTTTTGCAAGAAAATCCATCTAAGCAGGCCTAGGGGAGGCTGAAAATTGCTTCAAATCAATCAAAATAATGACACTTATACAGATATATTGTGATTCTTTTTTTCATAGAAAAAAAGCCAATATTTAAACCTTCTTTCCAGACTTGAAATAATTTAAATACTCATATTTTATGTGTGTCATATGTACATATTTATTCCAGTAATACAGATTATTTCTGCACTTTGCATTTACTATTTTGCAAGTAGTATGTCCCAATAGAAGCATAATACCTGACAGCAGATAAAATATTTTGGCAGGTCTTTATTCTCTCTAGACATTTAATAGATTTTTTAAAGGGTAAATTGGATTAAAATTATAATTACTCCATGCTATTTCCCTCCCAATATGTCAAAAACATTGTCACTGCTTGTGTACTAACACAGTTTCTAAGAATTTGAAAGTAACATCTATGTTTTTAAATGAGCCATAACATTCCCTGTATACATCCTGATTCCCAATTTAAATATAGCCAGTAATGGGATCAGAAACAACAGTGCTGAGGGAAGCCAGCAGAGAAGGGAAAGAGAATCTACTCTCAACAATGCATTTGGCATTTATCAATAGAATATATGCTTCCCTTTATAAAATAAACATTTCTGCTTCTTATTAATAGTTCCCCATTTTGTTCTTACTGATTTAGCTTTCTGCTGTACAGAAAAAGCAAACTAAACTTAAATCTAAAGATTATTATTTATATAATTTTAACCCACTTTTCAGTGTTAAAAAACAAGCCCAAATTGGATTTTTCACTGCAGAAAATTAGTGTTGCATTTTTTTTAAAGATCTGGGTATGTAAGATTATGGGATAAGGGAAGAGGTGATAAAGTACACTCCTAGCAAAAGCTGTCAAGAATCCCAACTGGTCCCGGAACACCCGAGAGAGGTTGTTCTTTCTTTAGTACATGAGAGGTGTATGCTTTTGTGTTGTGAGGTGGGTTTCTTCTTCTTTCGTATGTGTGTATGCGTGAGTTTATCATCATCATCATCATCCTGAATCAATCCGCCGCAGGATGAAGGCCTCTTCACTGAAGGTTATGGGTGGGCTGTAATCTACCACACTGGCCTGGTATAGGTGAGTAGATAGATGTTTTTTGACTTCCCAGTCTAGGACTAAGAGGAATAACTGATTCAAAGTCAGGTTCTGTGCCTAAGGGAGAACTAGATGCTGGGTCTCCCCATTCCAATGCAGGACCTTAATCACTACACCACATTAGCTGGTGTGTGTGTGTGTGTGTGTATAAAATCTATCCAGAACAGGCTATTTATTATTCCAAAATCGATTGGGTCACCTACCATTAGCGTCTCAGTCTCAGGTGGACTGATCTTCTGTTTACTGGTCTTCATTCTGCTCATTACTGATTCCTAAAAAGCTGTTTAAAGATTCCACCACCTTGTCAAGATTTAAGAAAGATATAAGGGAGTATCATCAATTAACAGGTAACACTGAACTCCAAATCTTCAAATAATATCTCCCATGGCTGCATGTACATATTGAGGTGAAACCTTGCAGCTCCACATTGATCAACTCCCATCCCACGAGGCAGTCTTCTATCCCCATTTTTCTGGAATTTCTCTGTTAGATAAGAATGGAAGCATTGCCAAATAATATTCCCCTCTTTGGTTTTCCACATAGGCATTTATGAAAGATATTATATTTGATATTGAAGACTGCTGATAAAGCTGTTCAGGACAATCAACAGGGAGAGTGAATGTCAGACTCACTGTCACATTTGGTTTTTTTAAGTTATTTCAGAAATGAGTCAGAGTCTGTTATAAGGTATTTTCTCTCTACTGTTAAAATCTGGTTACTCTGTTGGTTCTTAAAAGTGACATTTTTCCATTTTCAACATTTTCTGTTTGCTATATATTTAACATTAGAGCACTTGGTTAGTATTATATATTGCAGTTCCTGGTATAGCATCATCCCAAGAATTGTTTTTGGCCCCTTTGAAGCGAGCTTTCCAATTTTTGAGACAGTGTTTAGCACAATTTAGCAGTGTTCACAATTTAGCAGTGTTGTGAACAGAACAGTATATATTGGCAGCTCTTGTGTTCACAACCCATAGGCTGTCACTCAGCCCTGCCAATTAAGTTGGGTAGGTAAAATGAGAGAGAAAATATCAAAATAACCAAATATACAATAAGGTACGAAAATATTTCAGCACAATTCTAAGCATTTGAATCTTCCTTTGGCAGCGTTTCCTCAGGGAGGCTAAAGATATGGATCTTTAATTTTGTATGAGGCAAAATACATGGCTACCGAAATGGGAGAGGGGAACTTATAGGACTGTTATCTTAATTTAAAATTGCAATAATATATATTGAGCTAATTTAGTTCCAAATTCATCTACAATATTTTAAATAATCAGTGTTTTGTAGTCTGAATTATAAATGTATGGCATTCTGATAACTTTAGGGATGTAAACTTGATTTAATAGGATAAATCAAGATAAAATGTGAAATTTGCCTATTTCTTAGCACTGATCTCTGTAACAACAGTCAGAATCCCCAAGTACAAAAACTTTAATTCAGAATTAAGGAAATGTTATGAAACACTGTAAGAAATAAAGCAGCATTTCAGCAGCTATTCTTCTCATTCAAAAAAACAAAACAAACCTAGAGCAAGTGACAAAAGGCAATTGTCATTTTTATCAATATATTATTTTGTGATTATTCGCAATACATTGGAACATTTGCCTCCTCATGGAAATACAGTGAATAAAATATCATTATTAAGAAATTAAGAATACATATACGTGTGTGTTTGTTTTCCCATACATGTTAAATAACCCGTTTTCTTGTAGTTTAATGCTCAGTTTGCTCCTATTCAAGAGATGCTCACTATAATGTATTTCTTTCTCTGAAACCATTTACCCCTCACTTTTCAGCTTCAATGGCTTCCAGAATGTTATGTACCTAAACACAAATAAAATGGTTTTGTTAAAAAGAACGCTTTCATACTGAAAATCCTGGGTGCCTCTGTGAATATTTACGCACTGCGGACATTTGTTTACCACAGGAACGCTACTTCTCTCAACAACAATTCATCCGAAGTAGTGAAATGTGTGATTAATTCTCCTTTATAATGCATGTTGTAAATTTCCCGCCCCCCCTTCACCGAGCTTGGTACGATTGCACGGTGGTTCGGAAATCTCCCGCCCTCCTGTCTGGCCACGCCTCGCTCATGAATAATAAACAAGGTCCTTCCCCCAAGGCCCGGAGAAGGCTGGCGAGTCGCGCGCTCTGGTCGAGAGTGGCGGAGCCGACTGGCTGCCTTTCCCGAATGAATAATGAATAATTCATGAAAGAAGGCGTGTTCTATCCAGAGGGCGCCAAATGGCTCCTTCCGCGCCTGCGTTCCTAAGCGAAGTAGCAGACGAAGACACCAAACCGTGGCGTTCTTGCATTTCCAAGCAGGCATTTCTTTCTGCTTAACAACTAAGAGCAGGGCAAGGAAAGTCTTCCTGTCAGGCGGCTACGTCTGAGTCAGTCTTCCTCGGCCCGGCTCCCTCAGATCTGCCGGACTACAGTGCGCATTGCTCAACACATCTGCACCAGCCAGGGAGGGACTGGTCTTAACGCCTGCCTCTTCAGGCTTCATAGCAAGAGACAACTTTCCGCATTTGTATTGCTGCGTCGACATAATGGAGCATTTTTCAGACATTTCATGAACGTGTGGATGGGTTGCATTCACTTTCTCTCTCGTCGTATTGAATTATCTTGTCTGCTGGTATTCATTGCAAGCATGGAAAATGTTTTTTTGTAACAGTGAAGGTCATTTGGAAATACTCAGGAATTGTGTCTTAAAGACGCACACCCAGATTTTCTAGACCAGTGTTCTTAAAATGTGGTCCTAGGACCCCTGGGGGTCCCCCAAAGACCCTCTCAACCCTAACAGTGTGGCTTGGAGAGATACAATGGGTATTAGAAGGATTTATCTACAGTAGTACTGTATAGGACAGAACATTTTTATAACAGTTAACATTTCCACAGTGGTTTGAAGATGTCTTTAAAAGACCGCTAGAGGTCCCTTCAAAC